CTGAGCACTGTACTGAAGGGCTGCATGGCTTGGCTTCTCTGGGTCCAAACACGCATCCGAACCAGGAGGGGAAATGCCGTTTCAGAGGCAGGGAGGGCTTCAGTAAGTCAGGTGTGGGAAGTCAGGCATGCGCTGGGGTGGGGTGTGGGAGGGCCCCGGTGCTCAGTGGACCCCTTCCTAGGACCCAGGGTCGGTCTGTGTGCCACACGGGCCTAGTGACTTTGACCTGGCTTCGGAGCATCTGTTTCTGAGTGGGTGATTATACAAATCCCCTGCTGCAGGTTGTCAGGGAGTGGCTGGCTCGTGTGGTCTTAGCAGTGCACCTGAAGGCACACAAACTTTCTCTTCTGGTACCCAGTAACACAACTGTCCCAGCTCAGCTCCATTCCTCTGCAGGCATGTTCCCACTCCTCCTTCCTGTCCCCCTCTTTTTCCATTGTGGGGGCCTCATGCCCCTCTTCAGCTGGTTGAAAGTCTATTAATATTTCAGTTTGATGAATTAGAGATTCTTTCCTACCCTCCTTCTGATGTCCCAGGAGGGAATTAAGAGCGCATCCGATCCAATCAAATGCCATTAGAATGCAGCCCACGGGGTAGGCACTGGCAGTGCAAGCCTTTCTTCCCCAGCCTGCTTTGTTTTGGGGGTCTGCACTGTGGCGGAGTGGCCAACAGAGAGAGCACCCGGAGGAGTAAGGGAACCGTGGCAGGGTGACTGAGAGGCAGCAGCCGGAGGCGGGGAGGAGAAAGAGGTAATCTGGGGCTGGTGGGGAGAGGGTGCGTGTGCCTGCAGCTGTGACCTCAGCCCCTCAGCTCTGCTCCCTGCCAGGACACAGTACCCTCCTGCTCACCTCCACGGGGATTTTTTTCTGGGTCAGTCCAGTGTTTCGGTGTTCTGTGCTCTGTGCTGAAGGTAAGCTTTGAGCAGGGTGGAGAGCTCCAGATAAATCTGGATCGATGGCCTCCTCCAGGCTCTGGCAGTGAGCTGTCCCAGGGGCATTTCCAGCTTTCTGTCCATCCTGGTCCTCCACACGGAGGGAGCCACTGTCCAGCAGCTTCCTAAATAGGCCAGGGCTGTAGTGTGGTGGGGGCAGTTGACAGAGGGGGCCCCCAACCATCCATTGGCTAGGCTGTGTGGCTGGAGGACAAGGGTCCCCAGGCCCAATCATGGGGTCTCTTATGCCTGTTCCTTCCTTTTCTCCCCATGCAGTCGAGTGTGGCTATATTATGACTCCCAGTTGATAACCAAGGCTGGGACGGCCCCAGGAAGGGCAGTCGGCCTCTGACAGTGCTGGGCTGGGACAGAAGCCCAGAGTCCTAAGGTATGGGCGGCAGGTAGTGCAGGAAAAGGTCCAGATGGGAGACCGGATAAAGGGGACTTCCGTGGTCCTGGGAAGCCGGGCACTGCTTCCAGGTCCCTCCCTCTTCCCCACCTTATCTGGCAGGCCTGTGCATCAGGACAGCTAGGAGGCTGGATGGTGCTCTCTTGTGCCCGTCACCTGGTAGCTCTCTTTGGTGCCGGAGGCCCTGCCACTCAGCCAAAGGAGCCACAGAGTGGCTGGCCACCAGGCTGAGGGCGGGAGGAGCTTTTAAATGTTAATTGTATTTTGACATCTGGGCTTGTGACATCCATCCTAATGACATTTGGCTCGCAGCTGACAGCCCCTGGACATGTGGGGAGAGAGAGAGAGCGATGATAAGTAGTTTTAAATTGCAGAGTGGCAAAGAAGCTGGAAAATCCTGAGTCTTGAGAAAAAGAGAGAGGGAAGGCGGAGGCGAGCAGAAAGGAGCAGGGTAGGAGAGCCGCTCACTGCTGAGCGCCACCTGTATGCACGGAGCACCCACTGTAGAACTGAATGTTGGCAGAATCAAAGGCCTTTGGAGGGTTCAGGTGTGTCCAGCTGTGTTTGCCACATGCCACATCTGGAGCTGTTGTTTTCTTAAGCCTTTGCATCTTTCAAGGCCTCATTCAAACTCTCCCTGCTCCTGAGGCCTCATTCCCAGAATCCTTAGATGTGAGACAGTAGATGTTCCATAAAAGGTCTAGGTCCTTGAGAGCCTGGGGACCGCTGCCTCCTCTCGAGATCTCACTTGGTCTTCTCTAGGCCGCTGCGCCATGGCTGCTGAGGCAGGCCACCTCTGCTCCCAGCCTCCCCTGCTTTTCCTCCCTCATCAGAGGGAAACTGAGGCTGAGGAAAGAATCAGATGCTTCTCTTTCAGACCAGGAGACTCTGGAGCAGCAGTTGCGGAGAAGTGCCCCTTCGCTCCCCTTGCCTCCCTGCCCAGAGCTCCTCCTGCCCTGGTCCCTGTGCACAGCTTCTTGCTAGTGGCAGCAGACACAGGCCCTTGCCACCCCCGACTGCTGGATCTGCCTCCCCTTGCCATGCTTCAGGTGCTAAGGGGCACCTGGCACGTTGCTGAATTGCAGCCCATCCTGATCGTCCTGTGGTGGCTTCGCAGAGGTGTGTTTGACACCCTCTTGTTCCACCTTGTCCCACTTTGTGCTGTTAGCCAGTCAGAGCAGATGGAAATTGTGGGTCTGAGTGTCAGGGGCACACTGGGAGCCTGGATGGCATGTTAGGGGTACACAGGCATTTAAGGGACCAGGCAGGACTGGAAGTTGGAAGGCTAACATGGTGACAGTCTATGGGAGACCTGTGGACGGTGTGTATGCCATGTTGGTGGCACTCCTGTCCTGTAGTCATGGAGCTGCAGGAGGCTCAGAGAGCGGCCTTCAGCCGGGTTCTCATGTCCCGTGAATGCCTCTGAAATGAACAGGCAGACTGCAGCTGGCAGAGTGGTTTGGATTTGGGAGTCACAGAGAGGGACTATTCTGCTCTGGAGGATTCCGAGAGGCTGGCATGTCTCAGAGCAGATTGCTGGCCCTCTGGTGTTACTCACCTTGTCCCTTCCTGGCCCTGAGACTGGGTGAGGGACGGCACTGCCACCTGGAAAGGTATAAGATGAGGCTTGACTCGGCAGTCTACAGAGTCCCACCAGTCATACCATGTCAGGAAGGCTGAGAACTCCACATCCCGTGGCTCTCAGTACAGGCGACCCAGCCCTGTCCCCCTCCTCTCCAGTCTGGTCCAACTCTGAGGTTCAGAGGGTCTGTAATTGGTCTTCAGGGGCAGCAGTTTGAGTGCAGGCTTGGAGATGTGGGTACAGCAGAGCCCGTAGGTCACTGGAGGTCACTTCCTCCACAGTGCCTGGCTTCCTGGCAGAAGCCACCATGGAAGTTCTCTGAAGGGCATGTTTGTCTCTCTCCATGACCAAACCAGTCAGGCCAGCTGGGGCCCATGTCTGATGGGGGAGTGCTCTGGGCTTTGGTGATCTGAGGTGTCATGGCTACCGGGCAGATCTCCTCTCTGCTGGGGACCTACCTCCGGCCCAGCCACAGACTGCCAGCAACTGTTTCTTTTTTTAATCTCTGAAAAAAACCACAGCCTGCCCAGGCTTTAGCAACACAGCTGGTGGCGGATGGGGGATAATTATGGCCAGAGAGGAGGCAACACTGGGGGCAGGAGTAGGGAGTGGCTGAGAGTAGTAGTTTTGGGTCTATTAAACCATAGCCTGTGTTATTTTCAGTTCTATCTATCCGTCCAACCAAAGGAGGCGGGGATTATGTTCTGCATAGAAAGTGCTGTGGCTCCCACTTACAGGAGCCCAGAGAGGCAGCCAATTCCCTCTATGCTGGCTTTGTAGGAGGGCCCAGGGCTGGGACAGCTTGGAGACGGGTGCCTGGGTACAATGGGTGGAGGAGCCCCTGACTCCAGTTCCTCACAGACCACAGCCATGCACATTTGGCTGCAGAGGAATTCCGCCGCCTTTGCGTCTGTAGTTGGAGATGCAGGCTGCTGAGGTCACCAGTGGCTCTGTCCGTGTCTGCCCGTGAAGCAGGGTCCCCGGTGTCAGCCACACACAGACACAGCATAGATGAATAAACAATCTGGCCACTCCCATCAGAGACTCCAGACTGGCTGGGTCATTACCTGGGACAGCAAGGAGAGAACACGGTTTGCCAATAGTTATTCATTCACCAAACACTCCTAAGCTCACCGTGGTCCAGGCTCGGTGCCAGGCACTGCGTGAAAGATGGTTAACAGATACAGCATGGGCCTTCATCGTCTTCAGAGCCAGAGGTGCAGAGCAGGCACTGGTAGGGACTCAGGGAGGGAAGCAGACAGAACACAGGGACTCAGTCCTTGCTCTCCCAAGACTCCCTAGCGTTCCTCTAGAGTCATTGGAAATCAGGGGTGCAGCAGCCAGGATAGCCGAATGCCCAAGGCCTGGTGGCTCTCTGCATGAGAGCCAGGGTGAAGGAGGCCCCTGACCCTCCCCAGCTCTGTTAGCCACCCTCTCCCCAGTCTTCCCAGGACAAGGCTGGGCACTTCTCTGGGCTCTCAAGGAAGCCGGCTCTGTACTCTGGGCCCAGCGTTTGCCGGTCTACAGGACTGCTTGGTTTGTACCTGGCTTCCTCAGCCGGCCTCTGATGCACCCTTTCGGGATCACCAAAGCCCATGAGAGGGAAAGGGGGCAGCCAGCTGTCAGCTTCTGGGGCTGAGGGACTGTTCTTGGGGCTAGCTCCAGGCCACCTGTTACACCGTGTTCAGTGGGTCCGGGCCTGAATTGCTAGCCTGGTCTAGGGGCACAGAATTGCTAGGGGTTCTAAGAGTGCTCACAGGCCATGAGACCTGGGGCAGGAGGAGCCGCCTCTCTGGGCCTCAGTTTCCTTCTTCGGCATGCTTGTGACAGGAGTGTGTAAATGAGCATGCCACAGGGGGGCATATGCCACGTGTGTGCTCGGCTATGAGAAGCGGCCCTGCGGGTGGGGGTTCCAGTGACGCACCGGGTGGGTGTAGCGCCCCTCTACGTCCCTGAGCTCTGCTGTACTTTGCCGGGTATGCGCCGGGAAGCTGGGCTCCCTGACCCTCGACCTGTGGGGGTGAGGAGGGGTCTCCGCCATGTCTTTGGGGTGCAGGGGGTGGTGAGCTGGCGCGCGCATGGGGCTGAGGGGTAGGAGGGGAGGCTTCCTGGAGCGGGTGACAAACGGGTGAGGTGGGAGCGGGAGCCTCGGGCGGGGCGGGCGTGGAGGGGTGGCGAGTCCCAGCTTCCGGAGGTGGAGGTGCAGGTGTGTGTGTCGGGGTGGGGGGGGGGGGGAGGACCCGGGCGCTCGCTCTTTAAAAGGCTGGCGGAAGTGTGGCGCGCTCTACCCGCACTCGCGGCGCAAACTTGCGGGCTGGGCTCGCGCGTGCGGTGCGGCAGGGCGGTGGGCGCCGGGAGCGGTGCGGCCCCCTCGGCCCTCGGCCCGCGCTCCCGGCGCTCGCGCCCCTCCCGCGCCGCCCGGCTCCCCGTGCCTGGCTCGCACACTCTCATTTTCTCCCCGCCGCTGCCGCCGCTGCTGCCGTCAGGTGCCTGCACCCCGGCCGGCTGCGCTCGCTCGCTCCGCAGCCCCGAGCCTCGGCGCACGCAGCGCCCCGCACCGCCTCGCCCGCGTTCTCGGGCTCGGCGGCGGCGGCGGCAGTGGCGGCAGCAGCAGCGGCACGGTGGCGGCCGCTCCCAGCTCCAGCTTCCCGGGAGCTGCCGCCGAACGCCGCGCGCTGCTCCGGGGCTCCGGCCAAAGCGGCCGCCAGCTCCTCCCCGCCGCGCCCGGGACTGCCGGCGGCTCCGCGCCCGCCGTGGTCCGCAGCGTCAGCGCCGCCCGCCCTAGCCCGGGCTCCCGGCACCGAGAGCAGCTAGCGGCTGGCCTCCGCCTCCCTGCGCTTCCCGGGCGCAGCCGACCCCCGGCCGCCGCGTTCACCTCGCCGATGAGCGGTGAGTTGTGGTCCGAGAGAACGGGCGGAGGGGACTATGCCCTCCGGTCTCCGGGAGCGCGGGCTGCGGTGGGGACCCCAGCATTTGGGGAGGTGGCCTCTGCGAGCTCCCTAGTTCCAGGAGGAGGGCTCGGGACCCGGGTACAAGGGCTCCTCTCCGGGCTGGGGCCGCCTCTCCGATGCCCCCTCTGGGATGGGGCACAGCTGTCTGCGGATCTGGGGAAAGTGGGGTGGGGGCTGCCCTGATGACAGGTGGAGTTGTCCCGATGGGGACGGCGACACCCGCGTGCTCCCTCTGCGGAAAGGCTAGGTGGTGGGGGCGCGGGCCAGGGTGTGCGCCTTTGCCCCGTGGTCCTCGACCGGAGGGCAGCGCCAGCGCGGCACTAAGGCTCCCTTCTCTGAACCGCGGCCAGCCCCGGCACCACCTTCGCCACTGGCTGGAGCCTGAGCACCTCCCGCCCGAAGCAGCCGCCGTGGTTTGCGGTGGCGCTGCAGGTCTGGGGTCTCTCCACAGCTCCGGGACCTGGGGTCAGGTTTTCTTAACACTTGGAATCATACCATCCCCGAAACCCTGGTGAACCGAGAGTCTCTAAGGAATCTGTGTGAGCGCTCGTGTGGCGGGGGAGGTTCCTGCTCCGGGGTCGGATCCCCGAGCCCGGGCAGCCGTGTCCCCTCCCCGCGCGGGGGCGGGGCCGAGGTGGAGGCCCGACTGTGCGCTGCGCCCCCGCACCTCGCGCTGCGAGGCTGTTTGTGCTGAGCTGGGGCAGCAGTACGGCGGCGGGGAGTCCTGAGCCCAAAGGACGAGCGCCCTCTGCCCCTGGCCCTGGGCGACACTTGCAGACAATCTTTTCTGCAGGGGGCACCTGGTTTCTTCTTGCTTCGTTTACTACTGCTACCCCTGACTAGGGAGAAAACTGGCTTTTGGTGGCATCCTCTGAGCTGGGCTTTCAGGGCTAGGGTACCCCAAGTTACATGTGTGGCAGTGTGGTAGCCATCCTGCTGTGAGTCTGTCGGCAGGCGTGTGTGTATGTGTGCTCACAGTCACCCGCTCTCTCTGGATGTTGGACTTAGGGCAGACAGGCAGGCCAGTACTCTGAGAGTGTCCCTTCTGAGCACCTCAGGCCGCTGGAGCGTTTCTGCAGCGGAACCTAACATCTAACCAGCCCTGGGGAGAGGACTTCCCTTCTCCCTTCTCATGCCAGCTCTCTACCTCTCAGGGTGTCTTGGTCTTGGCCCTCTTTCCCCTGGGCTCAGTTCCCCTGTGCACGGGAGGAGGTGACAGGCCTTTGGTGAGGAGCCGAGAACTCTTGGGAGCTTTCCTGGGCTTCTATAGGAGCTCAGAGATGGGAGGTGGGGCAGGGGACAATTGGATTACAGAGGACCAACACAGGCGGGGTGTGTGTGGGGCGGACATAGAGGACCAGCACAGGCAAGTGGGGGGGGGTCACAGAGGACCAGCACAGGCAGTGGGGTGGGGGTCACAGAGGACCAGCACAGGCCGTGGGGTGGTGGTCACAGAGGATCAGGACAGGCCATGGTGTGGGAGGTCACAGAGGATCAGGACAGGCAGTGGGGGGAGTCACAGAGGACCAGCACAGGCAGTGTGTGTGTGTGTGTGTGTGTGTGAATTACAGAGGACCAGGACAGGCAGTGGGTGGGGGGTCACAGAGGATCAGGACAGGCCGTGGGGTGGGGGGTCACAGGGGATCAGGACAGGCCGTGGGGTGGGGGGTCACAGAGGATCAGGACAGGCCGTGGGGTGGGGGGTCACAGAGGACCAGGACAGGCGGTGGGGGGGGTCACAGAGGACCAGGACAGGAGGTGGGGGGGTCACAGAGGACCAGGACAGGCGGTGGGGGGGGTCACAGAGGATCAGGACAGGCCCTGGGCAGGCTGTAGGGGGCTGTGGGCATTAGTTCTCAGCAGAAGACTGCTTCCTGAAGTAGGCCCCAGCCTTGATCAGATTCTTGCCCTGGGGGATGGTGCCCTCTCATCTCTTCTCAGCCCTAAGCTGCATGCCTGCCAGCCCCCTGGGGAAAGACAGCTACCATTTTCCTGGATTTTTCTCACCTGTCTCTCCCGCACCCTGAAAGTTGGCAGTGGTTAGCCTAGAGGGACATTCCATGAATGGTGGACTTCCCTGCAGGTTCAGAGAGGGCTCACATAGAACAGACCAACAGCAGGAAGGGCTGTAGAAACAGGCCAGGAGCTGGGCAGATATCCTGGTCTTGGCCTAGCTGAGGATCCTCCCCTCCTCTGACCTGTATCATGGCTTCTGCATCTTTCTGTTGGAGGCATGGTGTCTCCAGGAGCTTGGCAGTCATCCTGTGACTGAATGGTTTGCTGGCCAGAAGAGCCTGGAAGGCTCTGCACAGCTTTGTCCCTGTCCCGAGGCCTCCACAGCCCCACCTTGGGGCTGCTGGGCCATCCCTACCCCTCCGCAGGGGCCAGCTGCTGGGCCATCCCTACCCCTCCGCAGGGCCAGCTGCCGGGAAGACGTGGAGCAGAACCTATGGACCCCAGAGCCTTGTAATTACAGCTGACAGGCTTGTCCTCTTCCTGGGAGCTCAGGCAGCCCCTAATTACCACCCACCCCAAGACATCTGCCCACCCCTGCTGTCCTCCTCCTCGCAGCCCAGAACCCAACTTTCCAGTGGGCAGGCCCTGCTGGGAGACTGGGCAGCTGGGCTGGCAGCTCCTGCCACTGGAAGGTGGTTTGCACACTTCTGCTGAGCCCACCTCGTGCCACCTGGAGAAGAAGCAGAGGAGCTTGGGGTGGGGACAATAGCTTCCTGTCACTCCCAAGAGTGCCAGCTCTGCCCTAGTCAGCTGGGGTCACCAGGCAATGGACTGATAGGAAACAGGAGGATGGCTCATTTGGCAAGCCTCAGGTTCTGAGTTTGGGTGCTGGCACCTGGGTGAGCAAGCCATGTGGTGATGTACCTGTGATCCGGCACTGGGGAGGCAGAGGCAGGTCATGGCTCAGCCAGCCTAGCCTAACCATATGGGCTTCCTAGTCAGTGAGTAAGAGCCTGTCTCAACGAATAGGGAGGAGAGGAACTGAGGGAGACAGCTGTCGTCCACGTCTGGTCTCCATATGTGCACAAGTGTGCACGCGTATGTGCACCATCCATAGACAACATAGATCACTACTACTCTGTGCACACAGCAGGACTGGGAGATGTCCCTGCCTGGGCCCTCAGAGAGCAGGCTGTCTCCCCCGTCCTGGGCACCTGCTCTCTATGCAGTAACACCTCCCTCCAACCTCGCCCTTTGCTCCCTCCCCAGGCTCTGGTTCCTCTCTCTGAGCAGCTTTGCTCCTGCAGGGAAGGCGGTGAAAAGGACCCCAAGAGAAGCAATTGCTGGGCTAGCCCAAAGCAGCCATCCTCTCTGAGCCCTGTGAGGCTGCAGGCCGAGAGAGGCTGCTCTGCCTTGCCCCGGTCCTCTGGCTTCTCGGTAACACCAGCACACCGAAGAGAGGACAAGTGACCCTAAATGAAAGCTGATCCCTCCCATCCAAGTGTCATCCCACGAACGTCACTGCACCTCAGTCTCATGGTGGCAGCCAGGTGTTAATATGTGTATACACGCAGATATTAAATGAATTGGGTAACTTGGAGGATAATGGCATTATCAGGACCCTGTTCAATTAAAGCAGATAATATCTGCAGTAATTGGAAAATGACAGCCCATAATGACAGCCTGTGCCATTTTAGGCCTTAGCGAGACAGTCTAGTTAAGCTGTTCCTCTCCTGGAGAAGGTAAGGCCACAATCATTGGGCTGAGAGTGATAACTACGGGGCCAGGAGAAACCAGCGGCTGCTTCTATGGGTTGTGCCAAGGCATGAGTGTGTGTGTGTGTGTGTGTGTGTGTGTGTTGTGTGTGTGTGTGGGGGGCATGGGACCAGAGTTCTGGGCTCTCTGGCCACTTCCTCACATTCTTAGGTGACAGAAACCAGCCCTTGTACCTACTGGTTGAGGTAGGACTTCTAGGTAAAACAAAAATCTCTGCCCCGGATGCAGAGCCGTCTTTAGGTTCAAACATAGAGATGAGAGTCAGGGACTCAGCCTGAATTCTGCAGCTGCTGCCAGCACTGTCTGTCACAGTTATCAGCATGGCCACTTATGGTCCATGGCCTTTGTGTGGCTGGCCTAGGGATGGAGTCTTGTTCTTGGATGTGGCCATGTCTGTAGCTCTGCGACAGGATGATTCAGATTGGGCTGAGCACCCTGCTCCAGGCAGTACTTGGGCCTGGGGCATTGAGTTTAGGGAGAGGACAGGACAAGGAGGGGGCACTGTCAGGGCCTCGGCAGCACCAGCTGTCGGCTCAGACACCCGTGCGCTTGGGTCTTGTGCAGGGAGGGCTAGGGACCCTAGCGAGGAGATGGGGAGATGAGACGGGGAGGAGAGGGCTGGGCAGTGGGTCCTGGGCCTGAAGGTGGAGGAGGCAGCATGGACTTCGATGCCCCAGAGAAGGTGGCACTGTAGGCAGGACGGATGGCTGATGTCCTGAGCTTTGGTGACACGCTGAACTGGAATGGCCCTTTCTGCTGATATGGGCAGCTGTGGCCTGCACAGGTGGCTGTCCTTTTGGGCCTCAGGTTTCTTTCTCATCTTGTCACTGGGCTCAAAGCCCCCATTTCTCTGTCTGAACAGTAGCCGTGGAGTCTGACTTGACCTTAGCCAGTCACCCTCTCTGACTATGTCCTCCCACCCCATGGCAATCCCTCTGCTCCCACCCTGTCCTCTGGACATGGTGTCCTCTTGCTCTTCCTTGACAAAAAGCTAAGCACCAACCGTGGGGCCTTTGTCCCTGTGGTCCCCATCCTGGCTTCTGCTCCAGAAGCCCACAGGTCTAATCTGTCCCTGTTTTACTTTCTGTTTGAATGCAATTCCTCAGAGAAACTTCCCCCATGATCCTCTCCCCAAAGGGCTCTTGCAGGTACCTTCCCTGGCCCCCTGCAATGCTGTGTGGCTCTTGTGGGTACCTTCCCTGACCC